GGTGAGACGGGTGTAAATATGTCCCCAGTGTGAGGTTCGCCCGGTTCCATGCAGAGCACAGGCTCTTGTTTTGAAAGCTCTTTCCGCCAGCGTGGTTATGTGGGAATCCCGCCCCCCCCGGCTCAGGCAGCAAACTTTGAGGTGCAAGTGAAGTCAAAGGCAATTCCTATAGCGCAGTGTCTTCATTAAAGCTCCATGTGCTGTCTGCGTTAATGGACACGATCGTTTGCCGAGGGGAAGGCTCAAGGCCAGCTTGTACCGAATTCCGTAGACTTTACCCAGTGTTAAAATCCAATACCAAATCCTTGAAGCTTCTGTAAGGAAGGACTTGTATGCATTTTACTGTACACTTATATGAAGTGAAATTCCCAGAAGTGGCATTCCTTAAAACTCTTTTCCTGTCTTGTCCTGTCTTTTCCAGGTGTTTGTTTCAGGATGGTAAGGCAATGTCTGATTTACCGGCTCTACTTTACAGTGTAGTATTTCCAGTGCTAAAAATACAGCAGCAGGTCGGTAAAGTGTAAACATATCGAAGCAAAACTCTGAGTTCCAGGTTAGAAAGCTGAGTCTTGCAAGCGGATTTAAAGGGGGCAATTTCCCCCTTTCATATTACTGTTACATTAAAATGGATTTTTAAAAGCTTACAAATGTGTTGCTTGTTTGTGTAGTATCTAAAGGTTGTTACTTGTTAGGTTACTTGTGACAGCACAGCCACAAGATCATTGTAAGGTGTTAATCCTTAGAAAGGTTACGGCTGAAGTTCTTGATTCTGGCTTCTGAAACGATGTGTTCCAGTCTAATCTTTTGTAATTGCAATTTCAGTACTTGTATTTAAAGAATGGTGCTTCCTGGTAACAATGTGCTACAAACACGGAGTCTGTGGCTCATGTCTCAGCTGAGTATCTCCTCCAGCTCTGAATGTGCAGCAGCTAGTTTTGAATCTCACAGAAACCGAAGAAACAAGAGGGCACATTTCAAATAAGAACAGTTTGTTGTCTGGGAGTAGTGGACTATACTTAACATTAAATCTAAGTTGCTTTTCGATAAGCTACTATGGAGAAGCTGCTCATAATCCTCTTGAAAAATATTCTTAATAATTAGTAACACCTTTTCATTGGCTAAATTACCCCAAAATTTGGTTTGCCTTTTGGAATGTAGCTACATTAACCTGGTATTTGGCTGTTGGCATTAGAATAAGTGTCTGACGAGGCAGATAATGCAGTGTTCCCATGTAGTATCTGTGTACTGTTTTGGGTAGTACTTCAAAAGAACCCACCCCACACCTCAAAAAGCAGGGTATTTGGAAATTCCTGGGTTTATCACAAGAAGTGAATAGCTGGGCAAACGGTCATTTGTTGTGGTATTGCAAAAATAATAGAAACCCAGTATAATTGCAACCTTTGCTGCTGTTTTTCAGTAGCAGTGCAGCAGCTGTGGGTAGAATTTAAAGGTGAAAGTCAGGAGGAAAGGATTTAGAAGGAAGCTGAAGAAAAGGAACTATGAAGTTTGTAGATGTAGCAAATGTAATGAGTTCAGACACTGTGATTGAAGAGGCAAATGAGCAGTGATGGGAGCTATGGAAAGGAATACAGTAGGTGCAAGGGAGTGGTGTGGGATTTAGTAGAGTTCTTTGTGATTAAAACTGTTAAAAGTTCCTAAGATAAGGGGAGCAAGTCTTCAGCCTCCCTGGAAATGAAAAAAGCCTCACACCATCAGAAGGCTTCTGTGCATGTCCATATGGTACAGAGGAAGACGACTTTTATGAGCAGTGTAATGTCTCAGTTGGAGCCATCATATATGTAGTTTTCTTGAAGAAAACTATTAAAAGCTGTGAAAATGAAAGTGTGAATTAGCTCACGTTTATTATGGATATGTGAAATCTCATTCTTGTTCACAAGTTGCCTGCTTCTGCTGCGCCTTCAGAGCTGATAGGAACATCTTAATGTCTCAGTATGAGCATTGTGGATTTTTAAGTGTAGGTCTTAAAGCTATGAAAATGAAACTATGTAAATGAAAGTGGGGTTTTTAAGTGGTAAACATGTGGTGTATGTGCTGACACTGACTGTCCTCTTTCATTATTTTGTGAATCAGTACACAGAAGAGGAAGCAAGGAAGTTAGGAGTGGTTGGCTGGGTTAAAAATACCAGCCAAGGAACTGTAACAGGCCAAGTTCAGGGCCCAGAAGATAAAGTAAATGCAATGTAAGTATTTCTGTGTTTTTTCTTAGTCTCACTATAGTCATGTACAGAAGCATTTTTAATACAAAGTGGCAAGTAGATTCATATATCAGCAATTTAACAGTACTTGCAATGCTCAGTTTTATTTTTGAGGAGTTAAGGAGATGCATTCTTTAAGTTGTACAAAAAGTCTTTAAGCTTCAAAAATGGTGTGTAGCATCAGCCAGTTTTAACCTCTAGTGTCAAATGGTTTTGCTGTATTTCCCTAATATGCTCTTTTACTGTGAAATGAAGGAAAAAACCTTTATTCATACACTTGAGCAAAGATCTGTTTTTTAATTCTTCAAAACTTCTCTAGTAAGAAACAGACTGAAGAACTTCTCTACTTAATTTAAAGGAACCTGGGTTTAAATATGATTTTTTCTTCTGACTTATAAATATGAATCCAAAATACACTCTGCAGCAAAGGCCTGTAGTCTTTACCATCTGGAAATAAAGTTTGGAATACTTTAGTGTCTTTAAAAGAATAGGTAATGATTTTCTTTATTAAAATGCCAATTTCCAAAAGCTTAAAGCTATCACTGAGGAAATGATGCCTGGAAAAACACAAAGCCCAGTTCAGTGGCTTCCAAACTATCATTTTCTGCAAGTGTATGTAGGGAGATTGTTTGGAGTCTTCAAAAATCCTTCAGTGGTTTGTTCTCTCAGCAAAGAACGAGCAATGGTAAAACTTTCCTTTGTCAAGCTTTATTATGGGGGGAGGCAAATTCTGCCAATTCTGATACGGAAAGTGCTTCAAAACTGAGCTTGGGTAAAGTGAAGCTGGTTTTTTTTCCAGAGAAAATAGTGTTAAACTTCCTGGTGAAGAGATTTATATGTGACAGATGTATGTGTAGTAATTTTCTTTGGATTTGAGCTTATCATTGGGTTGCTTATCTTGGGCTGCAAAATGTTTACGAAGCCAGAGAAATATCAGTTGTTTTCCTAGATCAAGTGTATACTTATTTTCTGGAAGAACTTTAATAGCCTCATCTAAATACTGTGTGAATTTGGTATCTAGGTGATGTAGAACACTGAAAATGAGCATGTGAGAAATCAGAGTCTGGTTTCTATTTGCTGGAGTACTTTTTAATATAAAACCTTCTAGTCAGTTGATACATTCTCATTAAGCAGGTTCAAGTGAAAGCACAGCTTAGCTCCTGGTAGTTCTTGTATTTGCATGAGCCAGGATTGCTGCAGAACAGAACAGTGTTATCATCCATCCTTTTCCCTTTCCTGTTGTCTGTGTTGATGGGATTGAAAGGAAACTGTGCTTACCCCAACACAGAAAATCTGTGTGTAATTGGGGATCTCACAGCTGCAAAATTAGACTAACAAGACTAGGCTGGTTCCCAGAGGTGTGAGTTGGCATACAGACTATCCCAAAAGGAAATAAAGGGTTTATATTTCACTGTTACACCATTTAAAGTAGGGTCAGCAAGGTGGATTGTGACAAAGTGTTGACACATTCTATGTACATTATGTTTGATATTCAAAGCAAATAAAAAGTTGGTTTGAGTTGCTGCTTCTTCATTTCATGCTGGAAATCAATGTTTTCCTCTGATGTGGGAATAATGTCACAATGTTGAGGTATGACTTTGAAGTATGCCTTGAAATACAGACGATTAAATCATGGATGCTGGAGTAGAAAACAGGAGAAATAGAGCAGAAAGTCTTCACTTGTCCTTGCTCCCTGTATGTGCTCTGGTACATCAGAAAGGTAGTGAGTTTATTTTTGGCATTAAATAGGTGAACTTCCACATGAAAAGTGAGCTGTTGTGTGTGAACAGCTACTTTGAAAGGCTCTTACTTCTCTCTGCTAGTACATGTTAGTAGGAGGTCAAAATAGGGTGAGTTTTTGAAGTTTATTCCAGAGTTTACAGCATTACTTTTGTAATGCTCAGTCATGCTTCCTAGGAATTCATAATGCTGTGTTACTTAAAATGCTGTATTAAATACAAACAAAATGAGGCTTGCTTCTGCTGTGGCAAATGAATATAACCCAGTAATCCTAAACATACATTTGTACTCAAACGGTGATAAATAATCAGGAGGAAATTCTGGCAGCAACTTTTATGCAGGCTCTAGTTTGGATTTGCTGGATACTCGGAACTTAAGAGACTCTGTGTGTGTGACACTTCTTAACAAATTGGAGATGGTGTGTTCAAGGAAGTGAAACACTTTTCGGGAGAAATGCAGCCCATGGATCAATATTGCACGGTATTTCAAGCAAGGTCCCTGGTGAGAGCTACCTCAAATAGGGGAATTAACATGTTACCTTGTAGAAATCTCTCAAGAACAGTTTGTGCAGTGTCCTTTGGACAGGTATTTTCACACTTGCCTCAGTTGCTATATTAAACTTAGGCAAAAAATGGTTCTTCAGTGGTGCCACACTTGGGCTTTTAAAAATCACTTATTAATGGTGATAGAATGATTTGCCAGTTGTTTTACTGGTTCTGGCTTGTTAATGTCAGTATTTTTTAGGAGGGGGGTTGTGTGTGGAAGGGGTGGTTTGGTTTATCATAAACAGTGTTTATCCTTTCATGATGCTAAATAGAATCAAGAACATAAATAGAGAGTAGGAATGCCATTAGTAAGTATAGTTCTACAACAGGTAAATAGAAAAAGCAATGGCGGAGGGAGGAAAAGAGGGATAAGTGTTTGAGAAGGAGGATAAAGACAGGGAAAGTGTAAAAAATGTGGGAAAAACACCATGAGGGAGTTCAGTCTTCCCAGAAGCATGGAGTGAATAACAAAGTGTGCCTTTGTTCTGGAGCAGTGGCGCGGCAGCTCTAACCCAACGGTTTTCGAGCTACAGCCTCTTGCTCCTGGTTTTCTGGTCCTTGTTTTGTATCACAGCTGTGTGAGGTGCAGCTATGAAGCATCCAGTACAGGCTCAAGAAACAATGCCTTTAGATGATTGTTTTTTATGCAGGCTGCAAGGTAAAATATCATCTGGGAGGCATTGTGAGGAAATTCTTGATGATTTATTTTACACACTGTTGTAATGCAGGCATGGAGTTTAGATGGAGAGTGACCAGAACTGGTGTGAAGTGGAGAAAATAAGGTTTTAAGTGTGAGAGTTTAAGGTATGACTCTCCACCCGTACTTACAGCTCTCAAGTGAGAGCATGTTGGAGAAGATCTGTTCTGTTGGCCAGGTAACTGATGACCTTTGGAGAGTCTTGGTGTCATGGTTTAAGCCAAATAGAACTTTATTGGGTTAGAACTGAGGGATTAGTGTGGGAAGGCAGCCAGAGGCTGCATATCCACTGCTGCAGATGCAGCAGCTTGCCAATGCAGGCAGTGGGTTTGGTTCCCTCCTATCCTGCCTCTTTCACCCGAGCCTGATGTGTTCTTTTTTTAAGCAGAGTGCTGAAACCTAGATTTTGTCCTAAAACACAGAGTAATTGTTTCCCTGCAGACACAAAACATGATTATGATGAATTACTTTGAAAGATGACATACAAAATAGTTTGCTCTGGAGCATGTAACAACTTACAGGAGCATTCTGATTCTTGCAGAAAGAAGTGGAAACTGGTAGGTATGAAGTATGGTGTATGAAGTATGTATGAAGGATCAGGGTCTGAAAGGTGTTGCAAGTGCAGGAAGATGTTTTCCTCCTTGGACCATTCACTGGTGAACACAGGTCTGCATTTCTGTTGAAGTGGTGCTGGAATGCTGACTTCTTTGATTTGCATTCAGTGTGTTTGATGACACTGAAAACTGGGAAAATGTACTGACTTCCCTGAGGACTTGTGCTGAGAATGTCTCTGAAATTCAAGAAGCTCTAAGGTATGAATGGGCAGGTCGTGATTCTATTCCTTCCAAGATTTGTCTTCAGTTTGTTTTTCTTGGAACCCTTCTAGATTCTCAAAGATTGGGTGACTTTTACGTGGTGTATGCTGAAGCCATTCTTAAATTTTAACTGGGATATTTTGCAGCCCATTTTAGAGGGTATTTTTAAGAAGTCTTTAGAACCTTTTACCTGTAAGCTTGCTTTAATATCCCTTGTTTTTAACCTCTAGATGGAGCTGTTTGTTCTGTAGAACCTTTCAGCTATCTGTGCTTCACTTGAAGTGAATCTATTTTTAGACTGTTATGGCGAAACCATCTTTTTCTTCACTACCTTTTTCCCTATTGTATTTTATGCTCCTGTTCTGCTTGCTGCTACTGCTTCACATAGATAACACCCTCTATCCTTAGGTACTAAACAGCTCATTTCCAGTCTTTTACCTATCTGTAAGCCAAAGAATATTAACGACGCAAAAAAGCAGAGTCACAGCATTTCTAAAACATAATGACATGAGATTTGATGGTAAACTGGAGGCTTTTTTGCTAGTCCAGGTGTCATTAAATGGGGAAGAGGAGGTAGTTCTTTGGTTTCTTTATTTTTCTCCCCAGAAGATTTATAGTACAGGGTTTTATTATAGTATCTCGTGATATCTTCCCCCATTTTATTCATTAAATAAGGTTAGAGCCTTTGTAGTCAATGTGGTTGTTGCCATGGCAACTTGCATCCACAGGCTGGAAAGCACTTTCCTATGAGAATTGCTTGAACTTTGAGGGCATATTACTTAGTTATCCATTAAAAAAGGAAGGTAAGACTCTTGTAGAGTAGCAAGTTCAGAATTTATTCCAAAACCCAAAGATTTCAGATCAGGCTGACACTATAAAATGTCAAATCTTAGGAAGTTTTGTAGACACAGGTAGCATATAGCGGCATAGTGAGTATTCTTCCTGTCTGTGTAGAAAGGCATGATGTGACATGTAGATTGCTTGTCTTGGAAATGGTTTTTAATTATTGAATTAATTAAAATTAAATTTGAATGTTTTATTTTTAATACTGATGACTTAAAAAAAATTAATGTTAAATGTGTAAATGACACAAGACTTGAAAATTACTTCAGGGTGTATCTGCATAGAAAAACGCAGGTTTTTTCCATGTAAAAGGGGAGAAGGGAACTCTGCATTAGTTAATATCACAACTGCCATTCTGTGTGTTTCATTACTCAGGTGTATGCAAGATTCCTGCCTGTACTAACTGGCACTGATTGAATAAATACTTTTTCCCTGTATATAATTTGTAACTGTTTTCAGAGAACAGCCCTGATGGCATGAATTGGAACTAAGTGCTGGTAAAAAAAATCCCTCCATATTTAGATTGTCTGGGTTTCTTGAGCCAAATTCTCCATCTTAGTACCAATTTATGTTGAGATATAAACCAAACAGATTTTAGTCTGTATTTTGAGATTTCTCTCCATTTGAAAAGGGTAACTTTTAAATTTTCAGCTCAATCTAAATGTTGTTTAGGAGGACAAACTGTAGCATTTGAGTGGTTTATGTTTTTAGATGCATTTGAGAATTCTGGGATGTACCCAAAGGAAGGCAAGTGAGAGCTTCAGAGAGGCTGGAGATGTTGATGGATTAGGGAGGGAATATGGAAGTCCATTCGGGTTTGGTGACAGCTGATCTGTAAAATGCTGCAATTGCAGACTGGGAACAGTAGCTTCAAGAAGTGGTGAATAACATCAGGCTAGCAAAAAAGGTACAAAACTTCCAGAGTTGCTTTTATGTATCCAGGAGTCAGAGTGGCAACATGAAACAGTAATCAGAGGTGTGCTGTAAGAGGAAAAATACATTATGGGAGGTTGGTGCTGGAGATGGAAGGAAAATTCTGGAATCTTTTAGTGTGGCAGAGGAGAATGTCAGAGGGATGAGCTGATTGCCATGGAAGTGAATTACCACAGGGGCACTGAAACCCAGTTTATAGTGAAACGTAGTAGGGAGGATTTAACAAGAGAAAGATTGTTAGACTGTCTTGATACAAGTACTTCTAAACCAATTTAGTAGGCTGTGAGAAAGTCTGTCTGTTATTCAAAGATGAATGCAGTTGTTCTCAAAATAGGCTCCAAATTCGTAGGTATTAATTAAAAAGGGTGTAAAATTTTATTACTGGAGTGATGTCATTGCTAGTTGTGTTTAATGAACAGACTATCTTTCATCTGATCAAGGCATGTGTAGGCCAAGGTGAGCGTTGGCATCCCCGGCTCTGGGAAAGCATACAGACACGAAATTGTCACTGCTAAATTTGAAGTAGATCATGCAGAGAACACTGGTCGTTGTGTGCTTCAGTGTTACAGAAAACACTTGAAGCTGTGAGGGCTTTTTGCCATGCTTATTTTGTGTAATTTTCTATAAATACATCTCTGATGCAGAGCACTTAATGTTTACCTTGAGTCCTGTCAGTGGGGCAGCTGAGTCCATAATAGAATGGCTGAGGTATTTCTGGGATGTGCTGTTCTTGGGAAGCTGACAGTGATGTATTCTGAAGGGAAGTGGAGAGGGAAATTAAAATCACCTTCTTGAAGCTTTCTCTTTGACTTTGCTCAAATGTGAAATGGTGAAAAAAGGGTTCCAAGGTGTTCTCATGTATGGTTGTAATGAAGCACAGTTTTTACATTAATTGCTGCCGAGTGTGATTTACAGCATTTCAGTGACTCAGTAGCAGCCAGATGACAAGAAATGATGGGGGTTTATGGTTCAGTGTGGGTGCAAGTATAATAAGCTCAGTTTTGGTTTGGCTTTATTTGTTTAAAGGTAAAACTAACCTATACTGGAAAATCAAACTGTGTTAAACTGTGATCTTTGTGACTATCTCTCTTCATACCAAATGCTTGAGGTATTAATTCATGTGATTATTCATTTATTGCCTAGAATTGACATGCTAAATCCTGACATATTTCAGCTATCCGGTCATATTTCAGGCTCAGAGCTTGGTCCTGTAAATGAAATATACTAAATGTTACTGATGACCTGGAAGGAATGGAATTAAACCTTGTTCTTTGGGTTTAGCAGTTCAGAACTAGGTAAATGAACTAATTACAGTTTATTGTAGCAACTACTCTCTGCTTAAAAGACAAGTAACAAGTCAGATAGCTCAGAAGATGTAGGTTTTGTTGCTGCCTTCTGAGAACAAAACCAATAAGATACTAATGAATCTTAGCTGAAAGATGTTAATTAGACCCAGCTGAAGGAGAGAGCTGCATGTTCCAACAGAACCAGGAGGCCTGGTGGCTTACCTTTGTCTGCCCTTGCCACTTTGTGTTGTGCAGCCCTGACTGCCCAGAGGGAAGTTAGCACCCTCGTGTTAGTCACTCGGGGGCACAGCTAAAGGCAGTTCCCTCCCTGTGGTCCTGGCGTGGTTGAAGGAGGAGAGGTGTAGCTCTGCTGAAGGTCACACAGCCCACCCGAGACAGAGCCAGAAATAGAAGTGGACTCCTGGCACAGGTCCTGTGCTTTAGACTCTGCTGGATTGTCACTGTTCTTTGCAATGCTGTAAACCACTAAAGCTTTTAACCATGGTTATGCTTTCTGGAGATGGAATAGTGCAAAAAGGAAGTTTTCCACATCCCTGTTTCTCCTGCTGGGGTATAAAAATAGCTCTTCTATGACCTTGTAGATTTTTAATCCAGTCATTTTTGCAGTTGCTGTGAATTTGCAGTAGCTCAGTGGAATTCTTTATAAAGTTTCTGCTTCCATTTCTGATCACTGAGGTGTTTGTAGTAATACATTTTGATATAAAAATATAGTTCTAATTTATCAAATGGTGCTAAACATAAGTTTATAATACAAATAATTAATTAGGATTTACTGAATACTGTCTCATTAGAGCTTAATCCTCATGTTTCCTTCACCTTTTGAGTATCAGAGTTTTGAAGAAGTGTGGGTTTGACACAAAAGCAAAGTTCCTCTTGAATACTGAATATTCTCCGTGAAGCTCAAGGTTAACTAAGGGCAGGGTTTAATTCTCACAGCTATTATTATAAGATACATGTTATAGTTTAGCCTTGCACCACAAACACAAGTCTCTTGAGATGCTTTCATATGTTGGAGGGAGGGGGCCACCTCTCAACAGTTTATGGAATTGGATGCTTGAATTGATTCACTGAAGAATGCTTTTTCCTTCCAGCTCCCTGTGAAGCTGCCAGAAGTGGCTGTTTGCTTTACTGGGAGCCACATGACTCCTTTCACTCGTTAAAATCTTAAGGTATTCCCACCTTGCATGTGCACAGGTCTCTGTAATGGGGGAAAACCAGCATTACTGCAGACCTCTAGTACGTATCTGGCTTCCTCTTCTGATCCCTAGTGTCAAGATTGCTGAGACAATGTGTTGCCTTCTGAAGGCAGAATCTTTGCCCCTGGTGAAACAGCCAAAAGCTGTCGGACTCAGTTTGCACAGCAGTGACCCGAAGCTGCTGTCCTTGGCTTCTCAGCAGGGTTTCTAGCTTGAGCTCAGTGCTTCACCAATGATCCTCTGCAGCTTCCAGTCATCTCAGCACGTGGTGGAGCTTGCTCATGTTTGCCTGTATCAAATTGCATAAACTCTGTGGGGAGGGAATTGAGAAATGTGTTATAATTTCCTATGTAGGAAAGACTCACTTATGTGAGACTGAATTTATTCACGTGCACAGGTTACACACACATGCAGTTGTGTGTAAGCACCATCCTGGCCACAGCTTACATGGGGTGTTTCAAACGAGTCTGGAAATGAAACCGAACTGATGTGGTGCTTAAAGAACTGCAGAAATGTAACTTTTTGCTTTGCTTTTTTTTAGTCAAACTCATTGGATTTGACCTCAAATTCTGAAGTGTTTTATCTACTGAGACAAATTGGGGCATTTTACTTTAACTGCATTGCTGGAGGCTAATGGGTTTCAGCAGATAAGGCATAGATTGTGTAGGATGGTTGTCACTTTTCTCAGTGTTGTCCAGGAACCCATGCCAAAAACATGATATAAATTCTGGCAGGAAAGTATGTGGCTTGGTTTCATGTATATTCTGCTGTTTCTCCCTAGGTAGGAACTAACTGGCAGTAGATGAACCAAGAAATAGCCAGGAAATGCTACAGCTGGATGTCACAGTGGATCTTTGCTTTCTGCAAAGTGCAAGACATAAGAATTAACAAATGTTCTGTATGCTGAAAGGGTGACTACCACTGCTTATACAAACTTACAATTTGATAAGGTGTCCACTTGATGTTCTAACCTACAGAAGCCTTCCTGAAAAGGAAGAGAATTCAGCTGAGCGGTCTAAAAATGGAGATTAAATGTGCAGAGCAACATGAAAAGGTCATCACTGAATTTGTGAAGCCAAGCATTCAAATGTCATCATAGACTGGAAGTGAGTTGCACTGCAGTGCACCTACAATGTCTGTTTTGTTCTCTTATCTTCCCTCTTGATGGCTGAAGGGGTTTGTTTCCTTTGTGTCTGCTGATTCTGTTTGAAGATTAATAGTCCAGTAAGTAGGGAACATGACTCTTATGACCACTTTTCCATCATAAGAGGAATGAAGGGTGTTATTCCTGGTCTAGAGATTTGTGTTTATAATCCACAGGAGAAAGCAACATTAATATTAAGGTTGCATAACTAAGGATGAGAAGCCCTCTACTAGAATGCTGCTGCTGTCCCCAAAACATGTGTTATGAAGTAGGCAAATGGGGACTATTTTTTGGGTGTATTATGTGTATAGTACCATATGCAAGAGCTCTTCAGTAAGAAAGCAGAGATTTTGCAGTCCAAATAGACAGAGTACAAAGGAGAGAGCAGACAACTAGCACAGGGATCCTGTGCTGAGAGGCTGGATTGGATTCAGTTCTGAATCCACTAGTGTAGTTATGCACATAGCCTATGACCCGTGCTACTACTGATCTTATCAACATGCTGGTGGTAAAATGCTGACTTGGAAAAGCAGCCTTTCTCTAGGATTGAAGGACTTAGGTAGCCAGGGGAATCTAGGACTTTAAGTGAAGTCCTTATTATGCCATTCTGCACAGATAGGCAGAGAGGAAGAGGAAGCTACTTAGAGCTTGTTTTATGGGGAAAGAACTCTGAAGCTTTTTATGTGGCTGAGAGGTACCTGTTTGTTTTATACCACAAATCACTGTGTTAATGATTTCATTCAAGGGCAAGCTGTGATCAGTTTATTTACCATATTTTCATAGAAGATGAGTGTGTTTCACGCTTAGTACTTCAGATATGCCCTTTGCAAGATCAAAATTGCTTCTGATGCTGCTCTTCTCTCTGCCACTATTAGTGCATTGCAGCAGTGATAAAAATGTATTGCTGGGTATCTTCATTATATGATCTATAACTAAATTTTACCTTGTTCTTCTTTCCCAGCTCCTCCTTCACTCCCTTGTCTTTCACTCCAGGGAAACAGAGTCTTTATTTGCTTAGTGTGGTGCCCTGAGATTTTTCCCTTGAACTTTGCTGGATGTTACCAACTATCCTGCAGAGTTAATGTTGGGTTTTGTGTTTCTTTGCCTTTCTGTTTGATGTGGCCCCTCTGAAGGGGGTATTGAAGTCTCTTTACAGAGAATCACTTACATAAAGTTGGAGGAGACACTGGGTTTGCTCTGATGTCCTTCTGCTCTTGAGTTTATTTGCTACAGTGCCTCCATGTCACTGGGTTAGGTTTCTTTTCAAAGCTGGTGTTTTGTGATGGTTTTTCCATAGTGGGGGTGAAACAGTTGGCTGCTTTAATCTGTAATGAATGCTCTGCTTGTAGACCTTAAATGCTTTCCACTGGTGTTCAGGCTTGTGCTCCTGTGTTGGGATGCTGTGGGCTCTTCCTGCTTGTTTCCCTGCTGCTTAAGGAACAAAGAGAACCAGTCTGGAAGGTCTGGAAAGTATTCAGAACTTAATGAAAGAAAAGCAGGCTTT